GTACTGGCTCAAAGATGGCTTGAAGGAGCAAACAGTTAATCCAGTTGTCATTCGTCTGGACACTGATAACTCTTGAACTTGATGATGTTTAATTCTGTTATTATATTTACAGATAATCATAGTATCCAGCCAGATATGCTCAAAGGAATATAACTTCTTTTAACAATGCCAGCACTGACTAATTCCAACGACTTATAGTGTAACATGAAACACTCATTTCACATAAAATTATCATGAAAATATAAATATTAACTATCTATATGCTTAAAGCTATTAGAAATGCATTGCTTAATTTGGAATGTGAACGACGTCAAAACATAACACTTTTGTCTTCATTCTAGCTTTTCTTCAATGAGTGTGCATGATTGTGTGTGCTTGTGTCCGAGGGAACGGGGCTTTAACAGTTGTTGAGTTCTAACCATAGGTGGTCCGATTAATGATTTAGTGTAAATATACTTTCTGTGTTCTTTAAATGCATTTCCACTTAGGTACTGCATAAACAAAATATGACATTAACATTACAAATTTAAAGATTTTAGCCTACAGAAGAATTCTCACTAATGGGTTTTGTGGTTAATGTTGAACAACTCAGAGAAACAAACTCCGTATGATGGTTAACAGTTGGCACCCACCATACCCTATTCACGACCTGTGACACCTCTTCATACCTGTCACGTGCATAGCTGACCTACATTGACGAACGTTGACCTTTATGACCCAACACTGCCGCTGTTACAGTTCATTGGCTCCCTCCCTCTGCAAGCCGTCTGCGTTCTGCTGTTTATTTTGTTGACAGTTACATAGACAGATTCTTTAATACAAATGCATAAAATCGGTGATTTACAATGTGATTAGGTTGTCTGACAAAACATCCACTAGCACAGTTTGAGATCGATTGGATCATTGGATGAAGAGATATTTACAAAAAACCGGGTCCACATGCATTTCATGCCAAACTATAGTAGATATTGCGATAGTAATGTTGGGAAGAGAGCAAGCACGACCAAAAATGTTGACCGAATCAGTAACTCTTCATCACCTTATCGATTTGCCCTGCGAATGTCATTGAGGGGCGGGCAACATCCTCTTTACTTTGTCTTTTGGTAGATTCAGCTGGCCAATCAAACAGTTCTGTTGAAAATGCGTCAGGAATTTACACGGTTATGTCACCAATTCGTCAGGTCGTATAAACATGTGCGGTACTAGCCACGGCGGGTGACTGCAACAGTGATACCATGTGCGGTACTGGCCACGGCGGGTTACTGCAACAGTGATAACATGTGCGGTGCTGGCCACGGCAGGCTACTACGACAGTGATAATCTGTGCGGTACTGGCCACGGCGGGGTACTTCGACAGTGATAACATGTGCGGTACTAGCCACGGCGGGATACTACGACAGTGATAACATGTACCGTACTGGCCACGGCGGGATACTACGACACTGATAACCTGTGCGGTACTGGCCACGGCGGGGTACTACGACAGTGATAATCTGTGACTAATCGACAGTGATAATCTGTGTGGTACTGCCCACGGCGGGGTACTACGACAGTGATAACATGTGCGGTACTAGCCACGGCGGGGTACTACGACAGTGATAACATGTGCGGTACTGGCCACGGCGGGGGACTGCAACAGTGATAACATGTGCGGTACTGGCCACGGCGGGGTACTACGACACTGATAACCTGTGCGGTACTGGCCACGGCGGGGTACTACGACACTGATAACCTGTGCGGTACTGGCCACGGCGGGGTACTACGACAGTGATAATCTGTGTGGTACTGCCCACGGCGGGGTACTGCGACAGTGATAACGTGTGCGGTACTGCCCACGGCGGGGTACTATGACAGTGATAACGACTGCAGTACTGCCACGGGCTACTGACAGTGTGATAACGTGTTCGGTACTGGCCACGGTGGGGTACTACGATAGTGATAACGTGTGCGGTACTGGCCACGGTGGAGTAGTACCACAGTGACAGGGTCTTGAGTGTGGACAGGGTGAGCAGGAGAGATCTTAATACATGTTTACCTGATATACTGTTAATGTGACACGAAAACATTATGTTCCACTCCCAGGTCACCAGCAGCAAAACAGAATATTCCCAAGACATGTTTCCAGAGTGTGATAAATTTACTTGGACCACGAAAATATTGTTCCCGAGATGTGATTATTGATTGAAGGACACTTTTTCACGTGATCACATCTTGCAGCTGCCGTGTTTTCGTCATGTTCTCATTATACCACATTAGTGAAAGTCTTCCTTCAAGAAGCAGGCAATGTATACGGCCTCATTACTAGGGGCTAATAGCGACATGGAGATCACATCCAGGACAGTGAATCCTCCGATTATATAACAGCAATGACGCTAAACCCTTAATCAGGACTAGGACTGTCCCTGATACAGCCGCAACCACTGCTGCCCAAGACAGTTAACCCAGGGACTGTAGATACCCCAGACAGTTAACCCAGGGACTGTAGATACCCCAGACAGTTAACCCAGGGACTGTTGATACCATATACAGTTGACCCAGGGACTGTTGATACCACAGACAGTTAACCCAGTGACTGTAGTTTCCCCAGACAGTTAACCCAGGGACTGTAGATACCCCAGACAGTTGACCCAGGGACTGTAGATACCCCAGACATTTAACGCAGGGACTGTAGATTCCCCAGACAGTTAACCCAGGGACTGTAGATACCCCACACAGCTAAGCAAGGGACTGTAGATACCCCAGACAGTTAACCCAGTGACTGTTGACAGCACAGACAGTTAACCCAGGGACTGTTGATACCACAGACAGTTAATCCATTCACTGTTGATACTACAGGCCGTTAACCCATTCACTGTTGATACCCCAGACAGTTCACCCGATGGCTGATGATGCAACATGCACCTAGCCGAATGACTTTTGAAATAACAGACAGTTAACCCATTTACTGATTATGTAACATGCAGATAACCCTTTCACTGTCTATATAACAGACAGTTAGTTTTTCATTGTTGATATAATGAAGGGACTTTCTAAACAATTTTCTTGTAATGTGGGTACCCGCCAGGGATGCATTTTAAGCCCTCAGATAGTTATAATATTTATTAATCATTTATGCACAGTTATGCAAAATGAAGGTGGTAAAGGAATATTTGTCACTGCTGTTTTCAATAATGTGTATGCCCTTATGTTTGCTGATGATGTTTCGGCTCTTTCGGACACTTGTATTCAACTGCAGAAAAAGATAAATGCCCTTGAATTATTTTGCGAGGAAGCAGGAATGAAAGTAAACCTTAAGAAAACAAAAGTGGTTGTTTTCAGAAATGGTGGGCCTCTTAGATCTTATGAAAAGTGGTATTTCAATGGGGAACAAATAGAAACAGTATCTTTTTATAAATATCTTGGCATCATATTTACACCAAAACTTGTTTGGTCCAGGGCACAATTATGTTTAGCTTCTCAAGCTGGAAAGGCAATTTTATCAGTTAACCACTTTCAAAGGAAATTCGGAAACATTAACTGTACAGATCTATTCAAAATTTTTGATGCACTGATCACACCAATATTATGCTATGGATCAGAAATATGGGGAACTTCCTATTGTAAAAGTATTGAATCGGTACAGCTTGATTTTGGTAAAAAGTATCTGAAAATAAATAGGTCATCTTGTAATTCCATGGCCCTGGGTGAATGTGGCAGATTGCCCCTGCAGCTTAATTATATGACCCGTGTAATCAAATATTGGTGTAGACTGTTACAACTGCCTCATGACAGATTACCTTTTCAAAGCTACCTTATGCTTAAGTCTTTAGATGATAGTGGTAGAACTACATGGGCATCAAAAGTTAAAAATCTTCTGGTTAATTTTGGTTTTGGATATGTTTGGTTGAGCCAAGATGTTGGTGATGTAAAGATGTTTATAAGCTTATTTAAACAAAGATTATCAGATAATTTAAAACAGTCCTGGTACTCTTCCCTGAGTAATTCTTCCAAATGCAACTATTATCAGTATTTTAAATCAGCTTTTAATGTTGAATGTTATTTATCGTTTAACCTTTCTACACATTTAAGAGCTGTTTTAGCACAATTTAGGTGTAGTAATTTTTAAAAAGCTGTAGAAACTGGGCGTTATAACAACACTGATTATAATCAAAGATTGTATATCATGCAAATCTAAAGGTCTTACCTATATTGAAGATGAATTCCATGTACTGTTCATTTGTGAATCCTATTCACACCTAAGAGAGAGGTTTATTACAAAATGTGTTAAAAGCCTTATACTGTATATTCTTTAGCAAATCTTTTCAAGAATACTAATGTAGACACTGTAAAATCTGTTGCCTTGTATCTATTTTATGTTAAAAGGATTATTATCAACACACATGAAAGCACATTGTGCCCCTGACTACACTGAAATTTCCTTTGAATGTATTTTGGGCCTATGGCCTTTTACTGCAAATAAACTCTGTATAATAGACAGTTATCCCATGAACACAACGATGATATCACAATTAGCTGATGTACTACTATATGTAACTACAATGTCCTGTCTGATATCGCCTCATGTTTCTCTAACCAGGTCTAGTGTACTGGTAATGACTTTACTGTTGCCTAAACGGTATGCATGCAACTTCCTCACTCACACAACTATACTTCGTTGACTACTGATTCATCATAGATTTAGGGTAATCACAACAATGTACCCATCACCGCACTGAATTGTCACCTGCATTTATGACACGCCTGCACACGCGTCTAACCTTGGCCTTGTCAAATGAACGGTTATCTGTGCTACACGAGTATTCCTTTGTGAAGACCCCGGGCCATTGAGCAGAATGGGTGGTTACAATACCTGACCTGCCTTTTTGTGTCAGCTGGCCAAGAGAAACCCACGCGACCTCGAACCATCATATTGATTATTGCGGCATAAAATAACATTTACTCTTTGAACGAAATTTCAAGTCTTGTGTTCCTGTGTACCATCTCTCAGTCTTGCCTTTCAGTGAATAGCCTTGGTTGTTTCACATGTACTTCTCTGAACGGAAGTGACCCCTCCTGCCGTGACCCCTTCAATCCTGTCCACGTGAACTACGAGACCAAATGCAAGCAGGGCATGGAAGGCAGAGTCGGTACATTTCCGGCCAAATATTGCACCAAGATCAAAGGCGTGAGAGGTAAGTAAGTCCCCAATGGGATGGCCGCTGGGTTATACGCCACGTTGAACATTATTCAAGCAATTTCATAACAGGTTTTACACGTACCCTTAACATATTGGAAATCGAACGCGGGTCGGCCAAACCCCAACCTGAAGCCAAACATTCTAAAAACCCATTTTGAGTGTAATCAAGCAGGTAGGTTTTTATTATTGATCCTAAATTGTCACTAAATAACCTCCTTGCATGAACATCGAACCTTAATACACACCTAAAAGGTCTTCATCCCTTCATTCAGAGAATTCCGTATTCTTCAAGGATACTACGCAACGTAGGTTAAGGACCATTCCATTTTTTCATTTTAATATAGTCAGACGACCGTGGTATGGCAGATTGACAATAGTACTATGAAAGATTCGGTGGTCATTATCTTAGGTATTTGAGGTGAGGTGAGGTGAAATTGGGTTTAACGTCGTGCTTGAGAATATTTCGCTCATATGACGACGGGCATGCGTGTGTATGTGTATGTGCGACTGCTTGTACTAGCCCAGACTTAAGCTGGTTTTATAGTGCTAGCCCACTGAGATACCATGCCGCAGTGAAGCATGAATACCCCACTCAGACACATTGTACTGACTCCGAGCCGACCAGTCCTTGTTGTACCCATTAATGCCCAGCGCCAGGCAGGGACCAACAAGTACCATATTTTAACGTCTTTTGGTATGACGCGGTCGGGGATCGAACCCGCGACCTTCCGCTCTCCGGGCGGACGCTCTAACCACTACACCACGGAGGCGGTCCTTAGGTATTTGAATGGCATTGTCTTCTTCCGTGTGGCATGAATATATAGTTGTTAGTTTCTTGACGAAAGAGCAAAATATGGGAAATATCGCAACTCTCGATTTATATCGAGATTCATGCTTCAAGGTAAATACCAGAAACGAAGGATAATTCAGAGTTCAGTTGGAGAACCATCATTTGGATATGTGTAAGTTGTGTTAGAAAACAAATTTATTTTATTTATTGGCTTATGTACTTCAAACATCATAGGCTCTTATAATGTCCTGAATATATGAGTTGTGATTTCTGTTCGTCAAATACATAATTTATTATATATATATAAGTTGTTACTTTTCCCCGTAGACACACATTCGAAAGACGTACCACTAATCTCATACAGCATGACACTGTAACAACTTGGTCCATCACATCAAACAGACAATATGGAGTTTTGTATATATCGGTAGATGCTGCAGGGTCCAGAGTGTGGGCAGTGTGGAATGTCTGTCCGCTGCCCTGTGGCCGCCTTGAACGGACACAGCCAGTGAAGAGGGATAGACATTACTGTTTAGTGTGAAAATAGCGGACCGCGCGATGTCTGGCCGCCGAGCGTCAGTTGGTGTTCCAACAAAACACTAATGATGGCCAATTTGAGGTTTTGTTAACACTATCACAGGACCAAAAGCCGGATAGTAAACCATTGAAATATACGTAAATACAGTAGGAAATACATGCCATGACCGGATTTACGTATGTTTTCAGATATTTCCTAACTTCGGGCATATATTTCATATGAATCTATACCTTTGAAACATATGCTCATCGTTCATTTTCGTATGCACAAGCACCTCGTTCATGTATGCCCTGACCGGATTGTCAGGGATTTCCAAACATGAATTGCAAAACAGATACCCCGGTAAATACATGATCATATAATATTTCCAATGCATTCCTTTGAATTTCAATGGGTGCTGAAATTTCTGATTTCGTTCTAAGTTTACTCGGGTTGGAAACATGTGAATTTACTTAGGTGTGGAAACATATGTAAATTTTCAATTTTGCAAATATTTACACACCTTAGATATTTATGTATCATACCGGATTTCAGGGGGTATGTATATGAACGGTTCATACACCTTCATGTTACCTCTGGGGCGGTGGGGTAGCCTAATGGTTAAAGCGTTGGCTCGTCACGCCGAAGACCCGGGTTCGAATCCCCACATGGGCACAATGTGTGAGGCCCATTTGTGGTGTCCCCCCGCCGTGATGTTGCTGGAATATTGCTAAAAGCGGCATAAAACCAAACTCAGTCAGTCAGTCATTTTACCTGTACTCAAGCAAAATGATCATATATATCCATCATGTGAATTACTTGGTTCATGTAATTTCATTTTCACACATTTTAATACGTTTGAAATCAACGTTCACATGACCTCAATATTCTTATCACCAAAAGAGCCTGACAAAGAAAGCAGTATTACGCAAGCTAACACGCCTTATCAAGCTGCATTCGCTCTTGCTACCAGTATCAGTTACGCCTTGTCTGTGGTGTTGGCAAATCTTGTGAGGTGCATGTATCGAGGGATTAAAATGTTCAGTGGTGAACAAAGGGCGATGCGTTGCCCCTTTGTCCTCGCAAGTGTCCCTAGCTGTCCCAATAGAATAGCACTTTGTCTCTCTTGGAGCACAGCCAAATATGCTACACGAATCAACTCGTAATTTCTGTTCAGCTCGCGCATCCCTACTGTAAAATATTTTGTGGCAGTACATAATTGGAATATTATTGCACTGCATGTGACCTTCCTTAATAGTCTCACAGTGCCTGAACAATGTTATTTCTCCATTCACTCAGCCTTTGCTGTAATAACGCCATACATAAGCTTTAAAGTTGTCCGCATTTGTTTCCCTAACGCAAAAGTATACGATAACAAACAATGCCATATCAAATTATATATTCTGTGAGACATGAAATGAAAAATTGTTTTTTATCGTGTAGCGATTATGACCGGATAGCGCAGGCGGGTGCGTTCTCTCAGTATTTCATCGGCATGTTGGATCGCGGTGCCTTTTGTGAAATTCGTCTATATTTTCCTGTTTAAATTGACGATCCATAACTCAGATTGCGAGTAAATATCACGTAAGTAATTGTGATGTCGCATTGCTGAAATTTCCCTGTCGGAGAAGTCATTCTCACAAGAAAATATCTTTCCGACATGAATACAATATCTCAGCGTTTTCCTAAGTAAGTGGAGAGCTTTCTACAACATTGGAAATAACTGTATCGTTGTCCTTCTGATATTCCCCCTGAACGAAAGCTCTACCCATTTAGGGTACAATGTGTAAGTTACAGAATTGTAGGGAATAGTCTTAAGACTTTTCTACTTTGACCAGGATTCTTCGAACTTGTAACAGTCGTTTGAGAAGATCAAAAGAGAAAAGGGTAGTGCGCGATGTATCTGACGGACGTATATGGAGAACGTTCGAAGAACTTTATAAATACATTAATAGAAATACCGGTTATGTTTAAAACGTACCCTCAATCTGATAGAGGGATTATTGTGAAAGATCGCAGTATGTATCATCATAAACGGGCCTAGATAAAAGTACATGTCATTCATCCCCACATTATATCCCTTTAATAGACTCGGAACATCGTTGTTACAGGTAGGGCAAACACTTTCTTCTAAAGTATCTGCCGGTTTCACGCTACATACATGTGTTCAGATTATCGAGAAAACTAGCGATGCAAGTTCTCCTCCATCACACCAGAGACCACATAATCTATCATATGGCCTTTGATCACACATATAATTGTATAGATACCCAGTGTTTATTGATAGCGATGAAGCAACTTATCAAAATCTACAGCCGACAGTATCATCTGCATTACTCTCTTACATAAGGTGAAATATCACAGGGTTGTCATGGTAACGATAATTTGGCATACTATTTATTGTGTTATTCTTTAATCTGCGATTAGAATTTAAATCAGTTTTGACGTGAGCATGTTAAGAAAAGAGAAGCTGTAAAACGAAATGTATTGTGATCGAACCTATAGGCCTTTGTAAAAGCGAGTTTCAAGCCACCTACATAAAAACCACTTTTCATGATAAGTATCTGCTAATCCTTGGCACGATTCCGACCATATCATGGGCATGTGTTTGTGAATCATAATCAAATAGTGATGTTACAAGGCGTCCATGCCGCGTCAACAACACATGCAAACAGGGGCGTAGCTACCATTATAAAAAAACAGCTCGAGCGTACACATGATCTTTGCTAAAAAATAATTTTTCTTCTAATTCTTTCCAAAAATACCTACAAACACGTTCCATTTAAAAAGTGGCAATCCCTCTATGTATCGTACTGACTACAATATTCTTTGATTAAAGCATTACCATGTACAGTAAACAGGTTATTCTTCATATCATAGCTTTCAGTGATGATTGTTTTTCCATCGACATGAATGAGGATGTTTTGTTACAGTCATGATTATATGTGAATCATCACTGAAATGCAGTTGCTTATTTATCATTTGTTTATCAATTATTTTAGAAAAAACACCAAATACTCGATGTATGGTATTGTATCAATGCAGCAGACATGTATAAAATATGTCCAAACATATTTGTATATGAGGAAATCACATTTCAATTTCCATGGTGGTAAGACTTCCGTCCGTATCCCCCCCTCCCCCTCCCCCCATGAGGAAAACTTTCTTTAAGTGGCATTTTTAGAAGTAGAATATGTCTTTCAGTATGTTCAAATACAATAAACAAAACACGTTAAAACTCATCCTTATCGGATGAGGAATATATATTCAGGTCATATGATTTGACTAGAATGAAATTTAAGGGGGAACAGGCGGAAGTTTTTCCGGGCAAGCCCTCAATACCACCTAAATATAAGGCTTTGCAGCCCATAGGGCTTACACGAAAAAATTGGCTTGCTACGTGCCTGGCAAACGCACGAGAATTGCAATACGGGCCTCAAACCACTGATTCTCCGTGACCTTGAGACACATGTGATTGAGCGTATGTTGGGACGTCGTCTGTCATACAGACCCTGAAGCAAACATATCCAAGCCCACGCAAGTCTACAAAATGTGGCAAGTCTAGATTCCACAGTTTCAGGAGAAAGTCTCAGGGCTCCTTTTCTTTATATAATAGTCTTTTTTTACTATAAACTTTTTTTCTGTAAAATATGTTCATATCAGAGACTAGTTGTTAATCTAGTTCTGA